GGAGGACAGGATGAGGGACAGGATGGAGGAAGGATGGAGAACAGGATGGAGGAAGGATGGAGGACAGGATGAGGGACAGGATGGAGGAAGGATGGAGGACAGGATGGAGGACAGGATGAGGGACAGGATGGAGGACAGGATGGAGGACAGGATGGAGGACAGGATGAGGGACAGGATGGAAGACAGGATGAGGGACAATAACAGTTAAATGAAGACATGGTTTTAGGTCTGGACCAGGACCGGACCAAGGTCCAGGACCGGACCAGAACCGGACCGAGGCCCGGTGTTTGCGTACGTCGCTCTGCAGCTGGGAAACCTCCAGCGCGTGTTGGATCTCCGGCGTGTCTGGCAGCTGGGAGTACAGCGACACGGACGCCTTCCTCCTCCCGTCTTCTTGGTACTTTTTCTGAAACAGATCAGAAACAATCTGCATGTCTGAACGGAAACTGTAAAATTAAACGGTGAGATGAAGGAAGAATTGATCTGAAGACGGAATCAGACGGATTCAGCTGCATAAAGTTTCCAGCTGTCTGTACAGAAAGACGTTTAAAAGGAAGAAGGTTTTCCACCACATGCTGAGAGATTCTGAGGTTCATTCAGAGAGACCCAGACTTTCACCTGCTAACAGGAAGGCTGAAGGTTTTACATTTAAGGATCTGCATCTGCATCTGCCAACCAGACAGGCAGCCCCAGGTCTGTGGTTCTGGTCCTGATCCGGTCCGATACCTGGCTCTGGAGGTCCTGGACGGTCCGGGCCAGCTGCGTCTGGCTGGTTTCAGGAAGCTGAGAGAACAAACTGCTGCTCATCTCCTTCCTGCCTTCCTCCTTGTATTTGTTCTGCAGATCAGACAGAGGATCATTGGTGAATTATTGGTGAATTATCAGTTACATATGAACATTTGACCCAATCTAGACCGGAACCAGAACCAGGCGGACCTCGCTCTGCATCTCCGTCAGCTCTCTGACAAACTGGGTCTCTGTGGTTTCAGGCAGCAGAGAGTAAAGAGAGGAAGAAATCTCCGTCTTCACATTCCCTTTGTATCTGATCTAAAATCAGATGAAATAAAAATTATTCCTCCAATAAAACCAACATGATTCCTGACCGGCGCTCAGGTTCGGTCCTGAGGATCTGCTGACTGACTAAAACCAACAGCTGCAGCTTCAGGTTCTGCAGAGGCTCATTAAACCGTCGGATCGATCGGCTTGGAAACATCCAATCAGCAGGACGAAGAGCGGCCGGCGCTTTAAAACACACGGCGTTGGATTAAGATGAAAGGAACACACACCTAACAGGAAGGATCTGGTTGCTGCCTGGTTAACATGGTTTTATTATCTGGTGTTTAAGAGCAACTGGAATAATTTAGTGATGTTGAAGATTTAATGACAATAAAGTGAAGCAGCTCAATGTTCCTCAGTTTTCTAGATTCTCATGAATCGTCTGTAACTTCAGGGTTTAAATGCAGGTTAGTGGTCAGTGATACTATCTGATGCAGTGATTCTCTGGTTCTCGGGTCTCAGTGGAGACGTTGGACCTCGCTCTGCAGCTCTGAAGCCGCCTTGGCTCGCTGCATCTCTGGAGTCTCAGGCAGGACGGAGTACAGGGACAGATTCACCTCCTTCTTCCCGTCCTCCTTGTACTTGGACTGGAAACAGAGAGCGTCAGGCTAACAGGAAGCAGACGAGGTCATGTGACCTTCGGTGGCGAGTTCAGACCTCAGAGATCACAGCGCTGATGTTCCTGGAGTGGATGAGTTCGGCTCCAGGGACAAACAGGCTCTGACCCTTCATCTTCTCAAAGTCCTCCTTATAGTGAACCTGCAGCACAGCAGATCTAGCGTTAGCATTAGCATTAGCAAACCTGCAGCTGGACAAGATAAAAATCATTATTTATTACTATCAGTCTGATTATTTTCACTGGAAGCCAAACTGAATTTATATAATATAAGAAAATCTCATCAACACCAGAGCCGCTGCAACACTGACTGCTACTGGAGATCCATCCACTTTGACTCTTAGAAGAGTTATAGCAACATTTAATTTGCTTTCTGGGATAAATAAAGTAGATTTGAATTAAATTGGAGACAGTTGTTGAGTTTTCTCATAAAAATTACAGAAACAGAACAGAAGAGTTTTCAAAAGGCAGATTTCCTCCTCCAGCTGTTTTTCCTGATGGAAAATGAAATGACTGACGTTTCCATGGAAACAGCATTATTTTGGGATTGAGTCTCCTTCAGGGTGGCTGTTAGCATCAGATCCAGAGGATCCAGACATCAGGCTGGTCCTGCAGAGAGGAGAAACCTGATGGAGGAGGAGCTGCAGCAGTGAGAGAAACGGCCTATTTAAAGCACCGTGACCGCCGGTCACCAGAACCTCCTGACAATGAACCCGGTCACCAGAACCTCCTGACAATGAACCTGGGTCACCAGGGTCACCAGAACCTCCTGACAACGAACCAGCAGGAAATCCCTGCTCAGGTTCTTCCTGCTAAATGAAGATCATTTAAAAACCTTTAAACGTTGTAAACTCACATCACTGAGGATCAAACTGCATCTGCGGTTAAACTGAGGATCCGGCAGCAGAGGCTTCAGGTCTGCAGCAGCCTGGAGGGACAGGAGGAGAAAAGCCATGAAGAAGAAACTGGAGCCTGACGGCGACTTCATCAGGAAATGTTCATCCTTTCACTCAGGAAACCCTGAATGAACGGATGAAATCAGAGCCTGGAAACGACATGATTCACCTGATCAGCTGCTGACACAACGCGACACGCTAAGGTCAACGTGACACGCCAAGGGCAACGCGACACGCTAAGGTCAAAGCGACACGCTAAGGTCAACGCGACACGCCAAGGGCAACGCGACAGACTAAGGTCAACGTGACACGCCAAGGGCAACATGACACGCTAAGGGCAACGTGACACGCTAAGGTCAACACGACACGCCAAGGTCAACGCGACACGCTAAGGTCAAAGCAACACGCTAAGGTCAACGTGACACGCTAAGGGCAACGCGACACGCTAAGGGCAACGCGACACGCTAAGGTCAACGCGACACGCCAAGGTCAAAGCGACACGCTAAGGTCAACGTGACACGCCAAGGTCAACGCGACACGCTAAGGTCAAAGCGACACGCTATGGTCAACGTGACATGCTAACGGCAACGCGACACGCTAAGGTCAACGTGACATGCCAAGGTCAAAGCGACACGCTAAAGTCAAAGCGACACGCTAAGGTCAACGCGACACGCCAAGGGCAACGCGACACGCCAAGGGCAACGCGACACGCTAAGGTCATTGTGACACGCAAAGGGCAACGCGACACGCTAAGGTCATTGTGACACGCTAAGGGCAACGCGACACGCTAAGGTCAACGCGACACGCCAAGGTCAACGCGACACGCTAAGGTCAACGCGACACGCCAAGGTCAACGCGACACGCTAAGGGCAACACGACACGCTAAGGTCAAA